TAGCCCTAGTTAAGCATGTTTTACACAAGGTCACCAGCATCCCAATTGACCAAAGCTGATTAGACTGGGGATTAGCACTTGACACAGAGTCACAAATGTCCCTGGGCCTCCAAAAAATAATAATCATATTTCATTCTGGGGAATAGAAATGGGGAGAATAATATTTGGGGGAATACATATAGCAGTTGGTGCTGGGAAAAGAAACAATAAGGCAAACAAAAAGTAGTACAGATGAAAAGGGAGCTAAGTAACTTGAGTGGTTCAACACTTCAGTGAAAATCAGAGGACTGTGATAACTGAGGTCCTTGGAGTTAATTGCACACAGATTCCATGTCTGAAGGCCCAATCAAATAGATTATTGCTATTCATAGATTACTGTGTAAGCCCAGCTTCCTGTTTTGAAGTTTACAATAAACTTGAATTATTTAAGAAGTTACTGTTCCAAGGCACCAAAAGCATACATTAAACCACTTTTAATGGCCTATTTTGAATCTGATGCATCTGAATATATCTGATATATATCTGAGTATTATATATTCTGTCTGCTTACACAGAAGATGCATGGGAGCAATAGATCAATGATGCAAAAGAGTGAATGTATTTTTCAAATAGCAATGAGTTAAGCATAGGTAGAAGTGATCAAGAGAATCTTATTAGAAGACTGATTCACACACACACACACATACACACATTTACACATATACTATATGGTTTTCATATTCCTAAGCTCAGCTTGATCATGCCTATAAATGCGATCAAGTATTACTAAACCTCTCATTGATATTCTTTTATTTGGTCAATATGATGCCAAGTACCTGGCTTATGTTAACCTATTATACAGCGTTATCATGGATAACCAGGTTCTCAAACTGAGATATACAGTCAATATGTCTACCAATGATTCTCTATGAACCAACGCATTATTCAAATATGCTCTTTTCTAAAATATTACACATAAAAATAACACATGTGTAACCTCTATATTGAGCAAGCATTACTCAGGGAATGTAATCATAATGTATTTTTTTTTCTTCTTATTCACAGTTATTTGTTGGGTTTAGTTTTTGCCCTGTTCCTGAATAGTAAACTCTAGTAATACTGTTCGCTGTTAAGTGATTCGAGTTCCTCCAGTGAATAATTAAAGTGTTTAGTGTCATTTAATAGTCAGAACTATGAACTGTTACCTACTTTTTATAACCATCTCTAGATTGGGAACCTTGCAGTCAAAGAAGGGAGCACAATCAGCTTCTTCTCTATGTGTTTCTATACCTCCTCCCTCAGAGCTCCTGACACACCTACAAGATGCAACAGAGCAAGTGAGGATAGATAAAGTGAGAGCAAAAGGTTCTCACTTGACACTTTCATGAACTGACTTGGTGCTCTCTGAATCTAGCAAGAGTTGGCAGCTGAATCTTCCCCTTGTTCCTGCTTGTGGGTTTTTTGGTCTCGCCCTATTCCCCCTCTTCCCTCTCCCACAGAGTCCACAGAAGTAAACTTTGCCATAGGCCACCCAAAAAAGTCACTTCTTCCTTCTAAATTTTTATCAGCAAATAGCTAGTCCATGTCTTTTCACTTAGATTTCTCAGGTAGAAGTCAGACACTCTGTGTGAGGCATGTATCAAGTTCTTCTAAGTAGTTCTATTAAACCCTTTTTTCACTGGACTACATAGGCTTTCTCCTTAAAAAGAGGTTGGGACTTGTACCACCACTAGCAGATCTCTCCAAAAACCCTCTTTTTTTACTCTATTTTTTAACTTCTGCAGTCATTCTTAGGATCATCTCAGAATTTGATATATCTTTCTTTTTTTTTAATTCAAGTTCTGCATGCTGACACTAATTAGAAATTAATATCAACTATCTTCAAGCTTCAACTGAAACTGAGATATCAATAGTGATACTTTAACATTTCTACAGTATCTGGTTTTACAGGAGTTTTCATTTATTTAAAAATAGAACATAGCATATTCTCTGGTTATAATATAATTATATTACAGTAGTATTTTATAATTTTATTACAAAAAAAACTATATTCATAATGTTTGAATATAATTATATAAAAAATCTAATAATAAGTAAAATAGTTTTCAAAATACATAATATAATTGATCAATTAAACAGAGATCTGTTTCTCGCTTATTTATACATTCATTTTCTCCCTTAGTAAAATACTTAATGTCTGCTAGACAATAGTCTAATGGTGACAAAGTAAATTTGCCCATTCTCTCATGGAATCTGCAGTATAATCTACTATAAAAAATATCTTTTATATTTCACAACTGTTAGAATGTGTGGCAAGAACTGACACAGTTTTAGAGCATAGGCAGAAATGGAGAGATAGCAATTGATGAACAAAATAGTAGGCCTGTGAGAGACCATAATCGATGAAAAATTGATAAAAAATAACAGTAGGAAGCTGTGATGTACAGAGTTAAATTTACAATGACTTCGTTAACACAGGAATTCTTAGTAAGACATGTTGTTAGCATGACTATTGGGGAATGACTGTCTTTGGATGAAGAGATTTTTTTTTGGAGAAAGTTACTATAGATGTATTTGTAACAAAAATGTTTTTAAAGAAAAAGTCTATTTCAATTAAAAAAAAACTTGTTATTTGACAGAGCATAATTGTGAATCTGTGTTCATCTACTGAATACTGCCTGGAAGTATAATTTCTGGTGGTTATATTTTTGTAGCTAGCTTTGAAATATATATTTTGTTGATGTTCAAGTTTAAGAGGAGAATATAAGCTTTATTGTCATGCAAATCCTAGTCTGAGGAAAGTAACAAATGTGTTTTTAATTATATATTTAAAATTTTAGAACCAGCTGCCTATTTGAAAAGAGGAAATAAATCAGTCTTTAAAGATGTCTGCAGCGCTGAAAAAAATAAGACAAAGAAAGCGAAGGGATATAAGGAGAGAAAATAAATGTATAAGCTAGTTAGTACACAAAATGCATGCCATTAAGTTCCTTATTATTTCAATACAGATTTGACTCTGAACTAACTAATGCCAAAGTAAAAGAGAAGCAGGCTTGGTTACGAGAGTCACTGTGTCCATAAATTAAAAATTAAGCGGTTGCTCAGGAAAGAACATAATTATTTCTAATATTAAGAAGAAAATAAACTCATAGATCCTTTTCTAGAAAATACTTTTGTAGTACAATAAATGTCCACAATGAAGTTATAGTAGACACAGTTTTAAAAAGTTCTTTTATTTTTTTTCTCCTCTCTCTCTGCCTTCCTCTCCCACTTCTCCCCCTCTTTCTCCCTTTTAATAACATCCTGTGTCAGTTAGATCTATTTCAACAGACCCCAGGGAGGTAAAGCCTTCAGGATGAATTCCCCAAGCTCTGAGTCAACAGCCTT